CGTTTTTGTGACTTTTTATGCCTTACTATACTATGACTTTTTATGCCTTACTATACTATGATGTTTTCATGACTTTTTATGCCTCACTATACTATGAAGTTTTTATGACTTTTTATGCCTTACCATACTACGTCGTTTTTATGACTTTTTATGCCTCACCATAATATGACGTTCTTATGACTTTTTATGCCTTACTATACCATGATGTTTTCATGACTTTTTATGCCTTGCTATACTATGACTTTTTATGCCTTACAATATTATGACGTTTTTATGACTTTTTATGCCTTACTATACTATGACTTTTTATGCCTTACTACACTATGACGTTTTTATGACTTTTTATGCTTTACTATACAATGACTTCTTATGCCTTACTATACAATGACTATTATACTATGTCGTTTTTATGAGTTTTTATGCCTTACTATACAATGACTTTTTATGCCTTACTATACTATGACATTTTATGCCTTACTATACTATGATGTTTTATGCCTTATTATGCCTTACTATACTATGACGTTTTTATGACTTTTTATGCCTCACTATACTATGAAGTTTTTATGACTTTTTATGCCTTACCATACTACGTCGTTTTTATGACTTTTTATGCCTTACCATAATATGACGTTCTTATGACTTTTTATGCCTTACTATACCATGATGTTTTCATGACTTTTTATGCCTTGCTATACTATGACTTTTTATGCCTTACAATATTATGACGTTTTTATGACTTTTTATGCCTTACTATACTATGACTTTTTATGCCTTACTACACTGTGACGTTTTTATGACTTTTTATGCCTTACTATACCATGTCGTTTTCATGACTTTCTATGCCTTACTATACTATGACGTTTTTATGACTTTTTATGCTTTACTATACAATGACTTCTTATGCCTTACTATACAATGACTATTATACTATGTCGTTTTTATGAGTTTTTATGCCTTACTATACTATGACTTTTTATGCCTTACTACACTATGACTTTTTATGCCTTACTATACTATGACATTTTATGCCTTACTATACTATGATGTTTTATGCCTTATTATGCCTTACTATACTATGACGTTTTTATGACTTTTTATGCCTTTCTATATTATGACTTGTCTATGACTTTTTATGCCTTACTATACTATGATGTTTTATTCCCTACTATACTATGATGTTTTATGCCTTACTATACTATGACATTTTATGAATTACTATATTATGACCTTTTTTGAAATTTTTATGCCTTACGATACTATGATTTTGTTTGACATTTTTATGCCTTACTATACTATGACATTTTATGATTTACTATACTATGACATTTTATGCCTTACAATACTATGACATTTTATGCCTTACTATACTATGACATTTTTATGACATATTAGACCTCACTATACCGTCACATTTTCATTTTCATTTCTCAAGCACAGAGCTTGTGGTTGTTGTTCAGCAGGTGGCGCTGTGTTTGTGAAGGATATATTTGATCTCTTTGGGCTCCAGCAGGATCGGTCCGTACTGACGAGAACAGTCACAATCCGCCTGTGTCACAACCAGAACCAGGTTACTGTCGGGGATCTGCTGCACCACGAACATCCTGAAACACAGGTGACAGCCGATCACTCATCAATCAAACAACAATCACTCATCAATCATTAATGAGACACAATCACCGATCAGTTAATACTCACGCAGTTACCAACAAAAGACTCAAATAACAATCACTGCTCACTCATTGACATTAACTTTATCTGTTCAATTAACAAGCTATTTCACATTAACTGTCAATATATAAATAACACCTTAACTAACAGAAATAAAAAAAACAAATATTTAAAAGATAATCATTCACCTTGACAACAAATTTTATTTTATAGATACAGCTTAGTTTGAAATTGTGGATTCATCTTTAAGGTTCGAGTTAGTTTACCTTACTTTTAGCCTTTCTGTTGTAGGGTTGTAATGTGTGTGTTTGAGTGTGTGAGTGTTAACTGTTTACTTCCTGTTTCATGGTGGATTTATGAACATAATTATTTCATCAATAAGACTTTTTCAGTTTCGGCCACTAGATGGAGCCGATGGTGTGTGAGAGAGATGATGTCCTTCCCTTTGCCAACTTTTGTCAGTTAAGTGAGGAGGATGATTTTTTGTGTGTGTGTGTGTGTGTGTGCCTGTGTGTGTGTGTGTGTGCATGTGTGTGTGTGTGTGTGTGTGTGTGTGTGTGTGTGTGTGTGTGTGTGTGTGTCGTACTTCTGGCAGCGTCCACACTTGATGAGGCTGTTGGCTTCTTTGATAGACGAGTCGTACATGAAGCCGGGATACGCCGTGTCACAGGGCTGCAACGCCTCCACCTTCTTCTGCTTATGACCTGAGACACACACACACACACACACACACACAGTTTTCAGCATCTGTCTGTTTCTGTGAGGACATTTCCTCTTCATAAACACACACACACGTTGTACTCACTTGTGTGATAACCAGCCTTGGCTGGATGGATGAAGATGGATCACAGTGAAGACACAGAGGTGGCGATGATGATGAAGATGAGGGTGGAGATGAAGATGACGATGAAGATAAAGCAGCCATAGTGAAGAAAGATGTTTGACATGAATCAGCTGTTTCAAATGTTGTGAAATATGATTTCACCTCAAAACAACAACAACAACAAAAAACAGCAGAGGACCGAGGACGAACACGTGTCCCTGACAAAGACAAACTCGACCTCAGTCAAACGACCTGACGTTGGTTTGACCTCAGGGATGATCACAGCGTCTTACCGTCCACAAAATAATCAGAGTGCCAGAGACCACAGAAGTTAAAGTCCAGCAGGAACCTGACAGAGACACAAACACCTGGTTATTTCCTCACGGGAAACTGTGGAAGCAGATTTTATTCAGCAAAGCAGAACAACAGACCTCATCTATTAATCATAACTCACACTGTAGTAATAATAATGAGGTAACAGGTAGCAGACTTTGTAGTGTGACGCATCAGATTTCAGCTGCATCTCTGTTTGTTTGATTGTTTATTTGTTTTTTTCATAATGAACTGCTTTAGTTTGAAAGCCGTATATAACTGACTATAGAGAGTCACAATCGCAAATATCGTGTATATAAATATACATGTATACGTGTGTGTGTGTGTGTGTGTGTGTGTGTGTGTATTTAGTGATCCAACATCTTCTGAACCACAATTTGTTTCACTTTGTTTTTGTAAAAATCCTCCTTTTCCCAGAAGTGATGAATTTCATTTTGCATTTAGACTCTTTGTTTGATTTATGCATATTTAAAAAAAAGTTAAATCCAGCACTCTGGCCCATTAATATTAAATGTATGCACATATTTCACATCCTGTTTCAGGCCCGAAACAGACAAATGTCCCAAAATCTCACTGCAGATTTAAAACCAGCTGCAGCTTCCTCCTCATGTTTGGGATTTTATCAATATCAGATCGGCCTTTTTACCACTGTTCCTGTCACTGATCAACTACTATATAATCCACATATATAATATGATCCTCAGAAACTTACATCAGAGCGTTGGAGAAGAACCACCTCATCAACGCCACGATGCCGTAGAACGGCTGCAGGAGGAAAAAAAATGTTAAAAGACGTTAATCCAAGAAAAACTGTTGAGATAAAATCAGGTTTTAACACGATGCAGCCAAAAGACACGGAAGAAAATCTGTCACGTGTTGATTGTGTTGAATGGATAAAACTGACGACATCATTCTCTGGTGCTTTTCTAGTCACAGTTGATAAACTACATCGCTACGGCAACAACAGTCGCCTCATGTTTAGTGCAGCGATGAGACTCACGCTGAGCAGAGGACGGGCGCTGTTGGCGTGATGATGACTGTTCTTACACATGGCCTGGTAGTCAAACAACGACACCCTGCAAACAGACAGACAGACAGACAGACAGACAGACAGACAGACAGACAGACAGACAGACAGACAGACAAGGGTTCAGATGAGATTCAGTAAAAATGTAAACGTAATATTTGTACATATATTGAATTTTCATGTATGAAATACATATTACATAAAAAACATATCTGTAAAAGTCATATATGAAACCTGATAGAAATTGGAATATTTTCATATATTGACATATATGTCCAGCCTATACAAACATGTATGTTTATGTATGTATGCTTATAGTGTAGACAGATGTTATGTAAATATATATCCATCCCAAAGCCTGTCAGTATATGTTGATATTATATTCAGTAGGGTCCAAAAGTCTGAGACCAATGTTAAGATTAATGAGAAATCAATAAGAAAAACATACTGTATAAAAACATATAGAATTTTTATATGTATGTTGCTTTAAGAATATGTTTTTAAAACTCTGAAGTCAGACGTGTCTCCTACTTTTTATACATCCCCATCTTGATCAGCGACGCCATCACAGACCCGTCGACCTCGCCGAAGAAACGACCAATCTGGAGACGACAGCATGAAGCAAAGTGTTTGTTATTCCAGTTCAATGTGACACCAACATTCATCCACAGAGAGACAGACATCCAGCAGACAGTTATTCGTACAGTATCATGGCTAACATTAGCTTTAACAGCTGTTTACTGTTTACCGCTAACTGACAACCAGTGCTGTAGCCACGGACGCTGCACAGAAGTGCTCGGCGGATGGATAAACTGTTCTTTGTCAAGAAATAGTTCCAGCAAATAATTCTTTGCTACCTAATTGTCACTTTTACATTTATTTTTTAGATATGAGTTAGTCTGCGAGTGTTAGAGGTGTATTTGTGAACTGTTAGCAACGCTAGGCTAGCTAGGCTCTCACATTTAATGTGTTTCCCAAAAATGTTGAACTATTCTCTATATACTCTCTCTCTATATTTATATATATATATATATACTCCTCTACTAGTTCAAACACGTACTTCTTACTGAATTTATTCTCATTTTGTCTTTATTATTTTTCTGATCAATAATGTTTTGATATTTTTTTCTGGCTTCATGAATCTCAAAACAAAGCAAAAAGACGAATTTCATATCATAAGTAGCTCTTACAAATATTAAAATGCTGCCAACAAAGAAACAGCTCCCTGAAGAATGACTAAACTAAATTATCCTTGCTGCAATTTATCAAATTCCTGGAGGAAATGCATCTCTTGGAGGAAGTCTCCTCCAGTCTGTGAGCTGCGATACGAGAAATCAGACGTAAAGGAAAAAATAAAAAGGTCTGGTTTTAGCAGAAAAAAAGCAGGATGTTGCAGCAGGAATAAAGAAATGTTTCCCAGTGATTTAAAGTCATTGTGTGAGTAGTGTTTCGGGCCTCTGACCCTCAGCAGCAGCAGCAGCACAGTGTGAATTATTCAGAGCGTTTTGTCTAAGCTGCTCTCTTCACGTTTACAAGCTGCTCTCTGCCCACTCTTCTTCTCCCATCGTCTGGATGGGATTTACCCAGCATCCTCAGAGGACTCGCAGGTTGCCGAGCATTAGCAGTCGGATGCTGCTTACTCTGAAACCGGACCTTCTGTTTTACCTGACAGCAGGAGGGTGAACGTAATGGGGTAAACAAAAAAATTTAAAGTGGCAGAGTCAGACACCTGCGGGAGCCGTGGAGACGAACAGGTTTAATTCTGCTGACGGTCTCTGAGGGACTTTGATCAGCTGGTTCATTGCAGTCAGGACTTCACTCACACCCTGTTAGTGCATGTTCTGCACTCAGAGAAACCAAATCCTGCAAGGTTTGGATGGTGGGTCCAGGTGGGCGGGGCTTGGTGACTGCTTTGTTGTGACATCACAAAGTTCCAGAAGTCCTGACGGCTGGTTTTAAGGCTCAGTGTCTGAATACAGGCTGTGTGCATTTCTCTGTGGACTGAGGCTTTGATACTTTCACAGTATTAATATAGAAGCTAGACCTGATCTATAATCACACTACACATGGACACAGACCTTTACACTGGAGGAGCTTTAAAACCAGATCTACACGAGGTTGAGTTTAAATTTAGATTTGGTGTTTGAGCTTAAACTTAGGTTTAGCTGTGAGTCTGAATGTTTGGTGCAGTTTGTCAGATGATGAAATGTTTAGCTCCCAGGCAGAAACAGACATTAAATGCACCACGTCTGATCAATAATAGTGTCCAGATATTGACAATGTGGCTGCCAGAGGGAAGCACTTCATCAGCTCGTCACCTGAGAGTCTGTGTTTCGTTTCTTTGTCTTTGGGGAAGATTTTTACTTTTCCCCACCTCTCAGATATTATGAATCAGAATTAGAAGAACCTGTGTGACAAAGACCAGGAGACACGGCTCCTGCAAACAGCAGTGAAACGTTGTGGTGTGGAGTAACCTTAAAGCAACAATCCTACCTTACCTAGCAGCTCATTTTTTATTATTTGCATGTCTGCTGCATTCCCAGTGGCCTTAGTAAGCAGATATTATGATGAAGTGCTTCCTCCCTGTTTTTGCTGAGCTCTGGACTTTGCAGGAAGTTTGTGGAAACACCCAGAGTTCTCCCCCGGTGCTGAAGCTGCCGCGGTGTGAAGGTGCAGCTCGTGGCTCGTTGCAGGGCACGGTAAATATTTAATCAGCAGAGAAATTAAGTCGATGCTGACTAACAGAAATAGGTCAGGGAGGGGAAGCGTGGTGAGCGCGGTGACCAGAGCAGAACGCTGGCCTCGTTATCGGCCGTGTGCAGAGGAAATGTCTCTGTGATCAATGATCCTGGAGTCCACTGATCATCCTCCGGGCTGCAAACAGGTTGGATTGATAAACACGAACCGTAACGTCCAATAATGTCCAGAAATGAACAAAACATGGACGCCAGCAGCATCATGAGCCTGTTGTTCATCACTGGATAGAAACTGAAGAGGAAACTTTCCTGCTCTAAGACTTTTTTTCCACTAGTGGGCTTAAAAAATAATCAAAGTTTTTAAAACATTGTTGTTTATTAAAGTAAAAATGTTTTTCCTCAGCACGATGGACGTTTTAGAGACTGTCCTCCTGTAAAAAACCAGCCCACAGGTCGTCTGTGCAGCAGCTTATTATGACATCATAGTCAGGTTTTGTTGCTAGGCGACATCTAGTGGTCGTAGTAACGATGACGGGAGCGAAGGGAAAAGTGTCGGTGACGTAGTGTAAAGAGAGACAGAGTCCACGTCAGGAGGAGGAGGTGGTGGATGGATAAGTATGACACACGAGAGCGGTGTTCGATTCCCGTGTGAAACCAGCAGTTAATGTTGTTAATATCGTAACCATGACAACAAAGACCGTCTAATGTTGAGAAAGTACTTTTTTTTTCAACCCAAATCACAAATCTTTTCCTAAATCTAACCAAGCCATGATTGTTATTACTGTAACCATGACAACCAAGGTCCGGTACACCTGTCACCATAGGGGGCGTTACTTCAGGAGACGCTCGATGTATATGGTTGTTCAGATTGGAGGAGTTGTTTACGGAAAAAAAAGTTTTTCTGAATTAACTAAAAATCCTGAAAAGCTTATTTGAAATAAATGATAAAAATTCTAAAAATAATTTTTTTTTTGGATTTTAATTTAAGAGAAAAGTAAAAGAAAAAATCTTGTTTTTCTGAATTAAGACAACATTTTTTTTTTTTTACTTTTCTCTAAAAAATAAATAGATACAATAAAAATAAAAATAAAACAAACAGGATATACAAGGAAATGCATTCATATATAAGTGAATGCATTACACTTCAATAGTTGTTGGATGATCCTATTCGAGTTGTGTGCAGTCTCGATTGTTGGTAGTTACACAGAACTAGTTAGTCTAGTTTAGATCACCTAGACTAATTTGGAGTAGAGACCAAACCCTCAACACTTCCGCTTCACCGTGTCTCTTCAGCATCCATGTGGACACAGAAACAGCCGATCGGATCTACAGACACAACAACCTGCTCCAGCTCTCTGTCGACTCACATTCACACATGATTACATAAGAGCCGGTTCCCCGGTGTTTCCCCTTCACATCGCTCAGAGACAGTGAACCGCTCGTCTGCACCTCTCTGTGCACCATCACTCAGCAGCTGGACGTCCGTTTGGCCCTGACAGCCTCACACATGTCACAGGGTCACTCTGTGACTAAGCCCCATCCGGCCTGAGCAGAGCCAGCTGCTGCTGCACAGCTGGCAGCCTCACGGTCACAGAGACTGTACTGTAACACAAACAACACAGGTTCGACTCCCGGTGATGCCGAACAGTCACGCTGAAGCTCTGGAGATTGATTATGTAACTATCTCAGCTGAAGAGATGTGGGGCAGTCTGTGTGTGTGTGTGTGTGTGTGTGTGTGTGTGTGTGTGTGTGTGTGAGTGTGTGTGTGTGTGTGTGTGTCTATTTATAGCAGCATATAGTGGCTCAGGATTAATCCTCAGTGATATGGCTCTTAACAGGCGGAGTTAATCCAGAGCTAACGAGCAGCTGTCAGATGGACAGCTCAGGGTCGGCATGTCTCTACACTCTGCGATGTATGGAAGCCTACTGTGGCCAAAAAAAAGAATCATGAAGGTTCAGACTAGTTGTGCTATGTAGTAATGTTTTTATGTTTTTTATTTATTTATTTTTTCATGGGTGGAAACGCAGCGATGAGGAAAAGTGGGAGCAGCAAACATGGACGTAACTGACGCACAAAATACCTTTAAAAAACAGTGTTTACAAACGTTTCGTAGGGAAGAAATGCGATGAGATTATTTGTTAAACCTCAGGGAAACAAAAAGATTACCACACAGACACGACCACTACTCCTGCCGTGTGGTTGTATCCCTCCGCCAATCAGCCAAGTTACAGGAACTACGGTCACAGTGTCTCCTTGCTGAGTTACAGCGTGAAATAATGACCAGAGCTGTTTTTGCAGAACATTATGATGTCACAGTGAAGTTGACCTTTGACCTTTTGGATATAAACAGACCTCTTGTCTGTTAGGGGCCCAGCGTCTCACGATCCTTCCTTGTGGCAGAGAACCGATGGACAAAACAAACGTTTACGACCTAAAGCGGCGTCAGACTAGTGTGACCTCGGACAGATCGCATCTATCGTGCGTCCGGCAACTCCGGTTAAGCTCCACCCACGGTCAGATGAGGTGGGCAGGTGCAGCTGCTGCTATATTTCACCGCTAATGCACCACACACACACACACACACACACACACACACACACACACACACACACACACACACACACACAAATTAAGACCAAAACCGTCCTCAAATCCTGTGAGTCATCCAGATGTTGTTTATGAGCACATTAACTGATCCGCCGTGACGCTGAGAAATCACCTGACACACACTCGCAGCGCGGCCACGACATGGACGACAAAACTCCTCCTGATTACCAAAGGAATCGACTTCCTGACTTCCTGACTCCAAGCAGATTAAACCTAGCAACCCATTTAATTAACTGAGGACTTAAAGGACCTTATCAGCTGTTTTCAATTTGCTTCAATAAACCGAGGAAACCAACGTGAAGAGAGTCTGAGCGTGTTCGGAGAGATCATCAGTCACAGGAAGCAGAGCTACATTAGCGTAGCATGGTAAAGGAGTTGGGACGATTGTTTGGAAAAGTCTTGTTGTGCTACCTTCAAGGAAACTCTGACATCCAAGACTCCAAAGTCAGCTGTTAAACAGAACAAACAATAACATCCATGTTTGTTTTCTGGGTTTCAATTTCTTTTACCTGCTCACTGTGTCAAACAACGACAACATAAGTTTGGCTAAACGCTGACGGTGATGAAGACCAGTGGCTGCTCGAGAGAAAGGGAATCAATCTGATAGGTGACGGATGATTGAGTCGGTGACGTACCGTAGTGTTGTTATAGTCGTGTTATGGCCAATGACATAAATGCAGGAGCACATTCCTGGTAATTTAAATGATCTTTGCTCAGGTCATCAGGTCTGCAGTCACTCAGGTAGAAGTTTGTTTTACAGGGTTTCGTCTTTCGATCGCTCGTCGACATTTTCTTTTATTGAAAATAATAAGTAGAGTGAAAATCTACTTGAAAAAAAGAGACATTTTTTTATTTTGAGCTATTTTTCTGCATTAAAGTAAATAATGTTAAATAAACCTTCATTTAAGTTCTGCGTTATGTTTTGGGTCAGATCAGGTTTTGGATCTTACCTCGTTCCTCTCTTTGGACAGCACGATGAAGCCGTTATTGTCGACCAGGAAACAGTTCAGATCCTGGACAGGAAGCAGCAGAAAGAAGATTTTCAGCATAAAAAAAATGTATTGTTTTGGGCGGTGAGCTTCAGACGGAGGGAGGTGTGTTTACTTACAGCGCTCTCACAGCTGAGCGGACACACGCCTTCGATGTTTGAACACTGAGAGGAAAAGATGAGATAGAGAAGCCAGGTCAAAGGTCAAAGGTCATCAGGTTGATGCTGCAGAAGCTGCTGCACAGACCAACAAACTACCAGCTCATTAATACATGTTTATCTATCTATCTCTAATTGGTCTGGATCATTAAATGCAGCCTCCACCAGGATGTGAAGAGTTCAAAAATTCTTCTTTACTGTCACAATGAGACTTTGATTATTTCTGTCACATTCACTTCTGAGGTGTTTCTTTCTCTCAGGGTTTAAAAGTGATGAGAAAACTATTACAAATAAACTGAAATACAAACTGGAGCCAAGAAAACTTTGAGTTGAGCCATGAAAACAGCAGAAAGACACGACTCCATTTAATGCGATGTAGAATAAAAGCAGCACTCTGAGGTTTTAAATCAATAATCAATAATCACTTACGTCTGTGTCGCTGGGCTGGAGGAGACAAGGTGAAGAGTTGAGGAAGATGTAGAGGAAAAAAAACAACAACAGATAATCACATGAATATCATTCCACTACAAAATAATGTAAATACCACAGCCACATGTGAAGGACACTAAAGATTTTCAAAATAAAACACATTATGTGAATGTAGCTGAATTAACAGTGTTTGACACATGATGTAGCTTTAACATTGAACTTGGTTTAAAATGTGGTTATTCTGCAAAATACACTGAACAAAAATATAAATGCAACAAAAAACCTGAACTATCCCTTTTATTTTGAAAATAAGACATTTATTAGACACTGAAGGGAGGATTTCTCTTGACTTGGGCGACATATGTGCATTTTTTTGGGAGGAGTGTCGTGGATCAGAAACTTAACCCTAGAAATACACAGTTCATTGCCTAATGAATGTCTTCTTTTCAAAATAAAACTCAAAATTCAGCTCATGAAAAATGTGAGCAAAAACAAAAGTGTTGTATTTATATTTTTCTCCAGTTGGTTTGTATTAAACGTGCAACAGGAAACAAATACAGAAGACGAATGTATCATCGATTCTGACAAGTTTTCATTGAATGGAAGAAACCATAAGAAAGTGTGAATCAGCTCTGACAGGATGTGAGTGTGTTCTGTGGATGAATGTGGAGTCAGATGAGTTAATGTGAGCAGCGAAGCAGCTTTGTGAATACATTAATCCGGCCTGTCACAGCTGTCAGCTCTCATTAATAACATTATCTACACCATCAACCTCTATAGGACGTCTGCAGCGCTGCCTCTGCTTCACTGAGCTGCAGGAGACGACCACAAGGTCAAACACCTACAGAGAGAGAGAGAGTGTGTGTGTGTGTGTGTGTGTTGGTCTGTCTTGTGTCATATTGGGGGCAAATATGGTGTGTGGTCAAACGAGGTTCCCCTGGAGGCTGCGATGCTCATTACGCCAGAAAGCTAAAACTGCTGGATGGATGAAAATGGAGACAAGTTTTCGTTAATTGGACCCGAAGCGCTAGTGAGGCGAAAACATTTAAATAAGTAAAGTTTGTCCTGTGGGTGGAGCCAGGGGAAAGGTCGTGTTGTTCGCTGAAGCTGCAAATTTGCACCGTGGACTGACAGTGAACCGTCGTCACTACGCTAACCTTCAAAAGACGAAACAGAGGATGACATCACAAAGGAGGCGCGGTTAGAAAGTCCACTTGCTCGGAGGGCTACTGTTAGCTTGTGCAAATGTTTGCTAGCACGTTAACACTATGATGTTTGCATTTTAGCATAGCGTGCTAAAACCATAAATCTCACCTTTGTGTCACTTGTTGAAGGTTGTTTTGGAGAGGAGTGTAACGGACTCATTGTTGCCCCCTGTGGCAGCTGGGGGCAAAAACACCCACTACAACTACGGTTCTCACCACAAGAATACTTTACTTGACTCACATGAGCTTTAACATGCTAACACGCAAACATTCAAGTGTTAACATAGCATGCTAACATTTATCATGTATGTTCATTTAGAATTAAACTGTTTCCTGTGCCTTTCAATCTCTGACTTTAATGCCTCATCTTTCTCCAGAGTGTCGAGATGAAGGAAGAGACCATTTAAACTATATGTTGAAACTCTCACTCGCAGACTGAAGAGCACAAGAAACATTATCTTTCCTTTGGTCTCTTAAGGGGAAAATCCTGCTGTTTTACTTTGTAATTGGAGTTTAGTCTGTGCACATTCCACTTTAATCTTAATGAAAAGTCTAAGGGGCTTAATGTCTATAATTAATGGCTTCTGCTCCCTAATGAATGTAAAAGGGAAAATTGAAGCAATAACCTCTGAATCCAGAGGATTATTACTGGATCGTCACGCAGCAAAAAAATCATTTGTTCGTCCTTGGGAACATGGTGATGAGCTGACTATTTGCAGTAACTAGTAGACTCCTGACTGACTGCAGATCGTGCTGCATCTCTGAGCGCTGCAGTTTATATTCCCACAGAACAGGGTTACATAAAATTGGATGATCCAGCGCAGCTAATGAGACAGCTTCCCTCATTTCTGGACACACACGGCTCTCTGTTCCCTCAAAGGTGAACACAGTCAGGGCTTTCAGAATAAAGTCGAGCAGTGAACCAGGATATTGTGGACATCACCAGAATGTAAAATATCACACTCTATGTTCAGTTTTTTCTTTTTTAAGGTCCCATATTTTCTTCTTCTTCTGTGTTTTATTTGAAGTGTTGGTCCATAAGAAGATACAGTATGTTTGTGGTTCTCAGAATCATAAACCATCTCAGTGTAGTTTTACATCTCTTCTCTCAGGCTTCTCTCTGGAGCTCCAGTAACAACAGGTCGGTGAGCCAATCAGAAGAGAGGAGGCTCTGAGCCTCTATTCTGATTGGCTGACTGTTTACTGAGTGATCCAATAAAAATATAGCAGATTTCAGGTAAAAACACTGAGAGAAACCAAATCCTGCAAGGTTTGGATGGTGGGTCCAGGTGGGCGGGGCTTGGTGACTGCTTTGTTGGGACATCACAAAGTTCCAGAAGTCCTGACGGCTGGTTTTAAGGCTCAGTTTCTGAATACAGGCTGTGTGCATTTCTCTGTGGATTGAGGCTTTGATACTTTCACAGTATTAATATAGAACCTGGACCTGATCTATGATCACACTACACATGGACAGAGACCTGTAGACTATATGGGACCTTTAACTCAAGTCCTTGGAAACTGGTGTGAAAGCTGTTTGCAGCTTTGCATGTTAAAAGTTCAATATATATATATATATTTTTTTCTATTCAAGGATAATAAATACATGCAAATGAAAATGTCCCCAAAAAAATGACACCAGCCAACATGTGTGTGAGCAAGTCCTTCAGTCACCTGCTTGGCGATGGCCCAGAACCTCTTCTCCAGCAAATCCAAGGACATCTGCACCCCGATAGCTAAAAATAGAAAAACACACACACACACACACACACACACACACACACACACACACACACACACACACACACACACACACACACAGAGATTTAAGACAGACGCAGGACAAGATGGACTCTGCAGAGGCGGTGTTGAGCAGTTTGCTGTTGTTTGTGGAGGGAAGAAGGTGGAGGACAGGAAATCAATTCGACCCTGGGTTCACCTCTGCCGTGTCCTGACGCTAATGAAGGGATGTAAACACTGATGAGCCTGATGGTGTGTGTGCTTCCCTGCAGGCTGAGTAACAACGCGTCCCCCCCACCCCCCACCCTCAGTAATGCACCGTAGCAGCTTTATTACTCTGGCACTGGAACAAGCGTTTAGAGGCTTGTGGAATAGTGAACAGCTGATACTCTGTTAACAACTCTGTGTGGAGTCAGTTATGTGCAGGATGCATCAGACACTGAGCTGATGGTGTCATGGACTTTACTCTCTACCATCCAGAGGACAGTTCGCTAAACCCTGAACAATCGTCCAATCACAGCAGGTTAAGCTTCAGGTTTCTCCACATGATGAAGTGTCGTGTGTGGAGCTGGAGTTAGCCACAAATGTGACGTCACTGACCACTGTCGGCCCAGGATTTGAATCCAGTATTTACAACAAAGTATATACAACACTTAAAAGGCAGAGTTAGCATATCATTAGCTAGCTACACTGTTATGTGTGGTCACAGGTTGCAGTAGAAAAAGTCTTGTTCAGGACTGACTGTGGCATCATCAGAGTTTAGGCTAATGTTAGCATGTCATGCTCTTTACAATACTGTCTCATGTGAAGTTTGAACTAAACTTCTATAGTTTTCTATAGTTAGCATCTGAATGTATTTATGCTAGAAAGAAAATGACAAGATTTTTCCTTTCTAATACCATATAATAAATCTATAGCAGACTAGAAGCTACATCGCAATACGTGAACAACGCCATGTTAGCTTTTAGCCTCAGCCTTTTCCACATCATCACAGCCATCAGGTGTATAGTTATAGTCTCATTTTTATACAAGTCAGTCAGAAACATTAAAAGAGCAGCTGGAGACGACATTTCCTCCAAACTCACAGATTTGAGGAGTAGTTAA